TTAAAAAATATTAAAATTAAAAAAATAAATTAATTAATAAATTGATTTAAATACTTATTTTAAAAAAATTATTTTAAAGGTTTCATCCTTTTACTATAATTTTATTTAAATATTAAAAATTTAAAAAATTACTTAAATTTAAAACTATTCCAAATGATTTTTCATAAAAATTATACTTGAGATATATTTTAATAATTGTAATTTCAACTATATTTTAATATTTAATAATGTATATTTATATTGCAGGATATAAAAACTAGTTTTTCAATCTAATATAAAATTTGGGAAAACTCATTAACACCAAACTCTTCTTATTTTTAAAGAAATTTCACTTTTTTATTTTCTTTAAATTAAATCATATTCTATTCACTTAATGTAAATAATAAAATAGTTTTATTTTCAAATACAATACAAATAATACTCATAACGTGTATCAAAAAAATACAAAAAACTAAATAATTAATAATTAATAATAATAATTTAGTTGCGAATAGAATATAATGTTATCTTAAAAAATAGTGAAATTTTTTTAAAATTAAGAATACATATTTTTTTAATTAAAAACTACATTTTTTTATTAAGAAATATTAAAAGTCACGTATTTTAGGAAATATTAATAAAAAGCACGTGATATATATATATATATATATATATATATATATATATATATATATATATATATATATATATATATATATATATATATATATATATATATATATATATATATATATATATATATATATATATATATATATATATATATATATATATATATATATATATATATATATATATATATATATATATATATATATATATATATATATATATATATATATATATAATTGAGTTTTGTAAAACTGTTTTTTTAATTTTTAACATTTGAAAAATTATAAAACTTTGATAGTCTAATTTTATAATATTATTTTTAAAATTTATTCTTTATTTGTGAGTTCTAATAATTAAATAATTAAAATAGATTTTAAAAGTTTTGATTTTTGATTTTTAGTTTTGAAAATTTGAAAGAGGAAAAATAATATATTTATCATTAATGACAAATTTGTAATATTATGTGTCTTTAAAATAATTTTTGAAACTAAGATTACCTAACATATTTTTTTTTCTCTTTTTCAAAATTAATTTAAAAAATAATTTTTAAAAACTAAAAATTAAAATAGTCTTTTACTTTCAATGTTTGTTTCAAAACGTTTTTCACTTTTTAGAGTATTAATTCATTAGCTTTGTCTCATATATTTTTTGGTAATGAGAACTTTATTATTTATATGTATTTATTTTTGAAAATGCTTTATTTTTGCATATATTTTATACGCATAAAACTGTTTCATACTAACTAATAAATGAGTTTATATTTATTAAAAAAATATTAGAAATTTTTTTTAAAGATTTTTCTTCCAAGTTGAAGGCGTGGAGTGCGATTTTCAGTGAGATTTCTAAGTGGCGAGGGAGATTTTCGGCATGGCCGTTGGGGGCTAAAATCCAATTTTTTTAGGTCCAATTTACAACTTGAGGTGGGATCTATATCTTGATTATGGTTTAAAGTCTTATTCCTCGAAGGGACCAAATCAGAGGATTTCATTGCCTGAGCATTATGTATGAGTATGGAGAGGGGGAGGAGACGCCCGAAGAAGAAGAAGGTGTTATCTCCTTTGGTGCAAACTCTAGAAGTAGAAAAAGGGACGGATAATGGGAGCACTTCGAGGAGCACAAAAAACAATCAACACTAGGGTCTACAAGGCAATAGAGAGATTAAAGGGGGAATTAATGCGGACAAGAATGTCAAACTGGAACAACAAGGTGCGGATGAAAAACAATGGGGTAGAGCAACCCAAAAAGTTGTGGGTGGGTGTGATAAGTGGTAATCGAATTTTGTCAAATGGGATGGCTATGGAATTCATAGCTCGAAAAGTAGTGGAAGGGGAAATAGAAGTGGAAATTGAAGAATCAGATGTGGAATCAGAAGTGAAGTTCTGGGAATCAACATTAATAATGTATGCCATAGATCAAGATCTGAGCATGAACGCAGTGAAGCAGTTTATAAGTAAGTTCTGGAACTTTATGAAACTCCTAGACATGTATTATCATGAAGAATGGTATTTTCTACTGAAATTCCCTTCATTCATTGAAAGAGACATGGTCCTTATGAAAGGTCCTTTCACCATTCAAGGAGGGCCGATGATTTTGAAGGAATGAAGCCCGGAGTTCAACTTTAAGAGGGACATGTTGTACACCCTTTCCATCTGGGTGAAGCTTCCACAGCTTCCTCTTCATATGTGAGGTGCAAAGAGTTTAGAAAATTTTGGAAGTGCAATTGGTCAGCCATTATTCTCTAATGAATATATTGCTAATAAGCTTATAGTCTCCTACGCCAAGATATTAGTGGAAGTTGATCTAACACAAAAGCTAAAGGAAGAGATAACTATTAGAGATAATGAGGGGAGAAAATTTAACCAACCTATGGAATATGAATGGAGACCCAAATTCTGTGACATCTTCTAGAAAGTGGGACACAAATGTGACACAGAAAACAAAGGGAGATCAAACAATGGAAAGCTAACAAAGTAGAAAGAAAGGAAGATAACCAAGAAAAAACAAACACAAAGGCAAACAATACCCCTGAGATGAAGGAGGATAAAGCAAGCACATCTTGGACACAAGTCACCATAACAAGAAAAAACAAAGGTAAATATGTTGTTCAAGGTACAAGTCCTGTTATTGATTGTCAAAATGAATTTGAGACACTTGGTTTTTGGGATGACCCTAGTGTTCAAAATGAGATGCCATGATTATTGCCCGAAATATAAGAGGTATGAATAAATCAGGGAAGAATAGGGAAATGATATCTCGCCTTAATAACATGAACCCTAATTTAGCTATCTTAGTAGAAACTAGAGTGAAGATTAATAAGGCTCAGGCCATTAGAAATAAAATGGGCACTAAATGGAGCTTTCTTGATAACTATGAGAAACATCATAATGGGAGGATATGGATTATGTGGGATGAGTCCAAGTTGAGAGTTAAGAAATTAGCTTGGTCTGACTAATACATTCATTGTGAGCTTGAGTACATCAAGGATAGGGTAAAGGAGTGGTGCACTGTAATTTATGGTCTCGACACTTTAGATCAAAGAAAGAGATTATGGAGAGACATTGAGAAGTTGCAAGTGAATGGTCCACGGTTCCTTATGAGGGACTTTAACAATGTTTGTAGTCCTCAAGACAGAATCGAGGGTAGACTAGTTATGGAAAGTGAATACATAGACTTGAATAATATGATGGAAGAAATGGGGCTCTTGGAGAAGGATAATGTGGGGGACCACTTTACTTGGTTTAACAAACATCTAAGTGAGTCTATATATTCCAGGACAGATAGGGTTATCTCTAACATGCACTAGATTCATAAGCACATGAGGAACATTATGAAAATCTTAGAGCCAAGGGTATACCATCATGCTCTTTTATGTCTTGAGGGGCAAGTGCAGAGGCAGAATAGGAAAAATCAGTTCAAATTTCAAAAAGTTGTCATCAACGTTGAGGGGTTTTTCAGGAAGCTGTCAAGGCTAGCTAGGATCAACAAGTGGAAGGTACTACTATGTACAGAGTCTGGAAAAGCTCTATAACCTTAGAGTTGTTATTACATAAAAAAGCATGGTGTTTAAAGGGATAAAGGATTAGATAAAGACATCTAAAAGCAAGATCAAAGAGGCTCAAGCTGAGCTTACACAAGACATGATGAGTCCTGACCTCATTGAGAGAACCAAGAATCTTACTAATGAAGTTATCAGGCTAAATAACATTGAAGAACAACTGATAAGTCAGAGAGCTGGGATAAGCTGGTTAAAGTTGGGTGATGGGAACAATGATTTCTTTCATGCTTCCCTGAAAAGCAAACATCAAATGAATCATATTAAAAGCATCAAGAACAAAGATGGGACTCTCTTGACTACCCTTTCTCATACCCCAAATTTTGACCAGGCGTTTTAAAACTTTCATTTATCAGACTTTATTCTCATTTTACATCATCTGCATAGAGTAACACGCCTTTCATATCATAACATTTTCATCATCTGTGAATCATATCCATTATTCATGTCATCTAACCATTGTGCATACAAAATAGGCGTCCTTTTGTTGTCTAAACTCAAGCCTTACAAGACCGAATCAAGTTTTAGGTAAAGTTATCAGGTCAAGGGTGTTTGTAGTGTTGGTTGAATTTTGGTGGAAGTTTGAGCTAATCTTAGTCAGAAAAATGGTTTACTTCTTCATCAAGAGGTCAGGCTGACTCAAGTTCATCAGTGCTTCATGGTTGAGGATCATCAAAGATCAGTTCACCTTCAGCCAAGGTTTTGGGGGTAGTACAGTTCATATCTCAAGTTATGTTCTTCTGATTTTCAAGACATGTTCATAGTATTGCTCAAAGATTGGTTCATATGTGATCCAAGTGGCATTAGTTTAAGAAGTGTTCAAGATGACTCCATTTTAATTCAAGATCAAAATTCAAGATGGATTCGTTTTGGTTCTCAATGCAAGTGATTTCCATTCTTGCTATGGATAAACAGGGTGGTGTTTAACCTTGATCGATAATTTTAAGTGTCAATTTCAATCCAAGATTCAAAACATTTGGTTTCAAGTTTAGTTCAAATGAAAAAAGGGAGGATGCAAAGTTCAGGTCCATTTCAAGACATTTTAATAAAAGTTATTTCATGCCAAAAGTTCTACACAAAAAAGAAATCCCATTACATTTCAAATTGCAAAAAATATGTTCAAGGCCCATTATTCTAAAGTCTATATTAGAAACTAAAAAAAATTACAACAAAAGAGAGCTCATGAAAATATAAGGCTCATTCCCATACTTGCAGGCCCACATCAAAATTACAACAAGAAAAAAATTATGCACATGAAAATTCCATAAGCCACACATTGAATAACATAACCATCTATAGCTCATGACTAACACTGCGCACTAGCCTCCAAATAACTATGCATCTACACAATGACATGCTGCTTCATAACCTGCAACACCATGCCACAACAAGACCGTACCCTGCGCGCAAGGCAACACCAACAACCATCCAAAATTCTGCACAAAACAACCAACAAATACTTGCCATTGAAAGTAACGTTACACAAAAACAAGACAAATACAAGAGCTTGGTAATTGTTTTAAGAAGAGGACAAACAAAGGGAAGAAAAAAACTATCAGCAAGAAAACTGAGAAGCAAAATCTCTATCACCAGTCATCATGTAAATCCTCTGCAAAACCATATCTCCCTCAAATTCACAACCACGATCCGCCGTGAATCATTCTCACTGTGGTAACCCCACCATTTCTTTATCCTTCACGTTTCAGCAACAAACCTTATAATACTTCATTCAACCCTTCACCATTAAACTTACTGTCAACCATTAACAACCACAAATTACTTACATCACCTTGTATAAATCCTTCACGATTCACACCACACCATCACCTCGCACTAACAAGAAAAGAACAATCAAACCCAACCATCCATCGATGTCGTATCCGCCACCGTAAGAAAGAGAGATTCGAGAGAGAAATGAGATCGCAGAACTAACAAGAGAGAGATGGAGAGAACATCCGATGGAGAGCAACGAGAGTGAAAGTGAGAGAGTGACGACAGAGACTTGTGTGAGGCGAGAATTTGAGAAACAAGTGAAACATATCCATGGTTTTATTTTTATAGATGAGGCTGAATCCTTTTTCTTTTATTCTGCATCCTCTTTTTTTTGCAACGTTGACCTTCCATTGACTATGGGCTTTTTGGCCCATCAACATGCTCTTTACATCTTCCATGTCAGGCGCTACACACCCCTTACTTCTTTTATTTCAATTTCATCTCTTATTTGTTTTTTTTAATAATAAAATTTATTGTTTTTTAATTATTTATTATATTTGTATACTTTAAATCATTTTCAAATCCTTTTGTTCTTTTTTATTCAATATTTACTTCTTGTTATTACTTTTGTTGTTTATCTGTTAATTTTCATTCTTATTTTTATTTGTTGATGAGATCTTGAATATCATAGAGGAATGATTACAAGGTTGATTGAATCTTCAATATTTCAAATGTGTTGATGAATGATCATTTGGATCATTCTTTGACGCTTTGAGGCATTGATAAGTTGCTCTTGATTAATTGCTTGAGACTCTTGATTAAAGATGAGACCATTATGTTAGATTAATCTTGATTTTTACCTTGACTATATTGTTGCTCATATCTTGTGCTTGTTATCATCCATCTAACTCATGCATATTTTGTTATGTCATTTTTTATTTCTTTGTTGTCTTATTGAAAAAACAACAAAAACATGATTCTTGGTTGGTGACTTAAGAGATTGATCTTCGTGGATTTTGTGTTTGCCCATAAGTTTGGCTTGGAATATTTTAGTCAACTTTGGAACTCTGTATTTTGACCTTAGCTTATCATGAAGTGTGCCTAGGGATTCAAGGTCTTAATCATCAGAAGTTTGGTTTATGACACTGCCCTCAAGCAAAAGGGAGACATGTAACCTCTAATTTCTATTTCCATTTCATAACTTAAGACACTTTGCGCACACACACATGGCTTTCTCTTGGGCTACCTTACAACGAGTCTTTTTATTTCTCGCATTGATCATCCCTTGTATTTTTTCATGTATCCCTCCCCCATTTGATGTATTATGTTATCTTGCTTTCCCTTTTTTTGGTTTTTACTAGTTAGCTATCTTAGGAATTAGGATCGATCAAACCCTAAAAGTATTCTTGATCCATATATCAAGCCATACCCCAACTTGTAAGTTGATTGCTTCGTGCATCGCCAACAACCTTGTTTGCATCACCTAAAATTTTTTCTTAATAAGCAATAACACCCTTGATCTAGAGTCAAGTGGAATTTTTCTCAATAAATTCAAAAGCATGATAAAATACTATTAGGATTGCGCGCCACGAGCCTTACATGGTGGAGAAAGAGTGAGAGTGGAGCTTCCCTACACTTACTCAGAGTATTTTGAACACAAGATGCTCGGCTTGGTCGTTCAAAATATTCACCTCTACCCATAGTATTTAGTGCAATCTTAATCAGGAACAAATTTCTTTCAAAACCATAAAAACAACATCAACTCACCAAACTTCTTTTTCGCTTTAGGTCATCACTCCAAAAACCTTTTTCAAGGTGTAAAATCAACCAACACACTATCATTTCTCAAGCCTCCGAACTATGGAGCTCTGATTTCTCTCAATGAGGATACGTAGGCACAAGGGCTACAATCCTTGACGAGCACCCTAATAAAAAAAACAACCCTCTTTCCCTTTACCAAGTAGACCTTTAGAACAATACACCCATTCGAGCTTAGACAACTTAGATGGTTCCTGTAGTAGGAAAATTTGTGAGTGTAAGCTATTGATTAACTTAACTAAAAAAATACAAGAGTCGCCACCGCATTTTTACTTTATCCAAAAGGAAAGGAAAAAGAGGGAACAAAACCTAAAAAACAAGAACAAACAGAGAATGGGTAAGGGGGTTGGTTACGCGATAGGAAAGTGTTAGCAGCCAAAACGTCTATAGTACTCTATAGGATCCCTTTGAAATATCTACGCTTTTTGGTTTGAAAATGTTTGCATAAGATGAGAAAAGAATTATTTTTTAAGATTTTTGTGTTTGGAGAGACTTATCGCCTCATGCCTGCGTACCGACAAAGTGAAATATAGGATCAAAATCCCGTAGTTAGTGGTACAAATGACAAAAAAAAATGGTTTGTTTTGATTGATTTTTTAATAAAAAGACAAGTCATCATTTTAAGGAGAAAACTATGACTAGTCGCCCACAAGTATAAGACAACATTTGCATCACCTAAAGATGGAGGATTTTGCTTGGATTAAAATCAACAAGTCTATCACTCAATATCTAAGTGGAAAATGTCAACATCTTAAATACTACGGGGAATAAGAGAATTACATCTCAACTATGAAAATGACTCATATCTAAATTTTATGAAAAGTTTTAAAATAAAAAGTGCACAAAGACACAAAAAGTTGGAACGAGATGAAGTGTGTTTTATATCTTTTTTTAAAAATTGTCAAAGTATGATTAAAATTGATTGACATTTATTAAAGAAAACAAAGTTTGAAAATCACTTGACAAAAGTCAAGGTTTTATTATGAAAGCGGTTTAAGTTTGAAAACAAGAAAGTTTTTGAAAAAGGAAGAAGATTTTGAAAATTTAAGAAGGGGATGTTAGACGACGGTGCAGATCTAGAAGGGGGGTTGAATAGATCACTTGTTAAAAACAGAGTCAAAGTTGGAAAGTTTTAAAATAAAAAGTGACTCATATATAAATTTTATGAAAAGTTTTAAAATAAAAAGTGCACAAAGACACAAAAAGTTGGAATGAGATGAAGTATTTTTTATATCTTTTTTTAAAAATTGTCAAAGTATGATTAACATTGATTGACATTTATTAAAGAAAACAAAGTTTGAAAATCACTTAACAAAAGTCAAGGTTTTATTATGAAAGCGGTTTAAGTTTGAAAATAAGAAAGTTTTTGAAAAAGGAAGAAGATTTTGAAAATTTCAGAAGGGGATGTTAGACGACGGCGCAGATCTAGAAGGGAGGTTGAATAAATCACTTGTTAAAAACAGAGTCGGCGCTTACCAATATTTGGTTTTAAAAAGTTTTTAGGCGGAAGCGGCCGATGAACTACATTCGTCTAAAATGAACCTTTATCGAAAAGATCGGATATACGCAAAGCCTATGGAATCCGATAAAAACGAGATTAAGAATCACTAATTTGAACACACATCAACTAGAATTTATTCACTGTGAGGTTGGACTATTTCCAATGAATGTAAAATATAACCCAAATGAAAAGACAACATAAGTGTTTGTGTTCACACAATTAGTCAAACACTTGGTGTGCAAGGCACCACAAGTGAATTTCAATATGTGAGTGAAATGCTAAAGTATTCAATTACAATCAAGGATTGTAATAAGGTTTCTAAAAATGGTTCAGCACTACACACATCAGAAATTAAGAAATTAAAAATAAAGAGAGAATACCAATTTGTTGAGGCAGTTCCCCCGTCGTCGTTGCTCGGGGTACGTCTGCCCTCAATTCTAAAAATAGAATTGAGACCTGTATATATATATATATATATATATATATATATATATATATATATATATATATATATATATATATATATATATATATATATATATATATATATATATATATATATATATATATATATATATATATATATATATATATATATATATATATATATATATATATATATATATATATATATATATATATATATATATATATATATATATATATATATATATATATATATATATATATATATATATATATATATATATATATATATAACCCGTTTGCAAATGCTTACAACAGAAGCAATATAATTCAAACATTCAAACCCAATTGTTGATACAAAGCCTATTCCTTCTCTTCCCTTGATTCAAGCTGAATCAAGTCCTTCGAACGCGATGAATAAACCTCCGATTATGGCACACCCTTTGAACAACCCTATGGTCTTCAAATCTTGCCCGAATGGTTTCAATCACCAACGCTTCGAACCCGAATCTTCCTCTCACAATCCTCCAGTTACCGCTACTAAACCGACAGAACCTCCCATTCTCCGATTACCTTCTCTCGGCTGAATTTGTGACGGACTAATTTGTGCAAAACCCCCCAAAATTCAAGATTCTTAGAGGACAAAACCTTAACGGTTTTATTCAAGAAAAACCCATTGATTTCTCAACCGAAACCTGATTACACCAATCCTATGTTTGGATGTTATCACGTCAAAAATGCAGAATGCACAACAAAAATGATTATGTGTAGTTGTTGAGAAAATGCAAGAAAGAGGATGAACATGATTAGAATAAAATCAGTGTCTAATTTCACTTTTCTTGTTGTTTTGATGAAGAATGAGCCAACTCAGTATATATGCAAGTCAAAAACAATTAACCAACTTAACAAACACTTAGACAATTTCACATAACAAAATTTTAGTGAAAAACGCGCAAGCGGTTGACCTATACAAAGGGAAGGGTCGAGCTGAGCTCTCCCGAGTTTTAGATTGTGCATAAAACAACACTTTGCGTCAACCAGAACTGGTCATGCGTCGACTCAAAGTACAAAATTAGACAGGCAGAAATGAACACAGTATGATTCGACCAGAGGGTCGATGCGAGCACTCCTTAGAGTAGACCATGCAAAATACCTACTGTATGAGTCAACTGGAGCTTTCTTTGAGTCGACTCAAAGACACAGAATATGCAAAAATG